CCCGGCCTCAGGTGGGTCCCCACCGCTAACCACGCCTGCTCAGAGCACCAGCTTCCCCTGGCCCCAACCCACACCCCACTCCCTGGCCTGGGGCCTGCAGCCTCGGTCTAGGACAGCAGATGGTGTAACCACCAAGAATTCTCTACTTTCTGTATTTTAAGATAACCCATGCATAAACCCAGTTTTAGGAAAACAGATTTATCATGGGCTGGCAATTGATCTTGGCTTTAGGGCAGGACTCTGAAAATGAGCAAGTGCCTCATTTATACTGTATATTACATATATATATATATATATATATATATATACACACACAATATATATATATATACATATATGATATATATATACATATATGATATATATATATATATTATGTGTGTGTGCGTGTGTGTGCTTTATATGCCATTTGCTTTACAAGTTAGGTTTTTATGTAAATTCTAAGAAAAAGTATGCTACTTTGTGGGAAAGGCTACAGTATTTAGGGGGTTGCTTATTTTATTATTTTTAACCAAAAACTGGGGAAATGTTGCCCATTATTTCTTCAAATATTCTCTCTTTCTCTCCTCTCTCCCAACCCCTTCAAACTCTAATTAAACCTACATAAAACTTTATGTTACCATCCCTCAAGTCTCTGGAAGTCTGTTCGTCTTTTCTTTCCTCTTTTTCTGTTTTTCAGATTGGATAGTTTCTGTTGATCTGTCTTCAATTTACTGATCTGTCTTCCTCAATCGACTGCTGTACCCACCCAATACATGCTTGTACCAGATAGGGTAATTTGTTATCCCCGTATTCTTGTTTTCTGGGACGTTTATCTTTCTCTGCCAAGATTTCCTATTTGTTCATTTGCTGTGCATGTAGTTTCCTTTATGTCTTGAGCATAGTTATGGTAGTTTTGGGGTCCTTTTCTGAAAATTTGACATCTGGGTCCCACTGGAGGCTGTGCTGTTTGGAGGCGGTCATGGTTTCCTGTTTCCTCGTATGTCAGTCTTTTGGGTCGTATCCTGGACATTGAGGTGAAACAGTTAGAGGCTCTGGATTCTGTTCTTTCAAAGTGTTGAGTTTTTGTTTGGGGAGCAGTTAATTTGGCTGAACTCAGACTGTGCCAGGCCCACTGTGAGCAGCAAGTGGAATCCATATTGAGCTCTTTTGCTCTGCCCACCGTCCACCTCGCCGTGCGCACACACAGGGCCAGCCACGATTTTCATGCCAAATGTAGCACTCGTCTCCAGAGCTCCTCGTACTGAGATCATCCTTGTCACACTTGTGCTGCAGGGTACCCCAAACTTGGCCTCCTGCTTCTTCAAACTCATGAGGCTATAGGCCCTCTGCCCAAGTGCTGGCCTCCATGGGTGCTCTGATCCAGTTGGTCTGCTGCTAGTTCCCTTTGTGTTAATCCTTACCAGCCACCACCACCTCCTGTAAAATGGCAGATATAGGGCTGGGGATTTAGCTCGGTGGTTTCACCACCTGCCTCGCAAGTACAAGGCCCTGAGTTTGATCCCTGGTACAAAAAAAAAAAAAATGATGAAATGGCAGATACATAGAAGCTACATCCGAATGAGGTATATCATGGGCTCTTCAGTCACCTCTATAGACAATGACACCCAGTGCTGGTGTCCAGCCGGGGCCAACACTTCACTGATCCCTTGGGATCTCCCATTGACTCCAGCCCCAGTGAAACACCCTACAGCCCTTTTCTGCTGATTCTCCCCGAATAACGAGCTGCCTACTTGCGTGGGACCCCACTAAGATGCCCGGATGTCAGCTCTTTCCACAGCATCCTCACGGTCAGATTCTCATGTGCCCCACCACGAGAGAGCAGCTCTCAGACCTTGCCTCTTGTGATAGGCTCAGGATTTGCTAGAAGGTCTTAGTCTTTTTGTTCATGGATGTCCTCAACTACAGGAGCAAAATAACCAAGATCGTGGAAGGACTCTGTCACCATGGTGGCCTGGTCTGGGGTAGGTGGGGGGCAGTGTGCTTCTGGGGCTTAACTTGGCTCAGATGGGTCTCATATCCAGAAGGCAGCCCCACCCTAACAGCAGCTCTCCTGGGGTCCCCTCACTTCCCTATCACCTGAAGTACTGGGAACAGGCTACAGATCTCGCTGCCCCCATGAAGTCCTTTTCTAGAGTCACCCTCCAAATTCGTGGCTGGAAGCGGCATGGTGGGGGACTGGTTCTGCCATCTTTTAGGAAACCCTACAAGAATGTGTCTCTTTAGAATGTTGTCTATTGACATCCATTCGTCCTTGGATCTGAGGTCTTATCCAAATTCCAAGACCAAAAAAATGCTCTGTTCCACATCTGTCACACTTTTTTTTCCTCATGAGTTTATTGGTACATTTTAGGGATACAGTGCAGTTACTTTCATCATTGGGGTCTTGTACCTTTACATGACCGGTCTTCTCTCATTTTTCCCCTTACCCCTGCCCTCCCTTCACCCCCTCCTCCCTTCCCTATTTACAAAGACTTTGTTTCTATTTTTTCCTTTTCTCATATCTTTCTCTTTTCCCTTCTTTCCTTTCCCCTACCCTTCCCACTTCCCCTACATCTTTAGCCCCTTTCTTCCTATCTCACGTTGTCAGTTATACCATAAGGTTTGGACCTTATTTATGCTTTTAGTTTTCACACCAGAGAAACTATTCTGTATTTACACATGCATATTGAGGCCATACATCTCATTACATACTTGTTCAGGGTGAGGCTCTGGCCTGAGGCTTGGGAAGGCTGAGATGAAGTAAATATATCTCTATTTTCAAGGAACTCACCCTTTGGCTTGGGGCTGTGTTGGTCAGCTTTCCGCGACAGTGACAAAATACCCAAAACAATCAATTTTATAAGAAAGATCTGTTTTGGCTCATGGCTTCAGGGGCTTTGGTCCACGGTCACTTGATCCTATTGTTTTGGCCCTGTGGTAAGGCAGAACATCATTGCCAGAGAGTGTGGAAAAGGAAGGTCTTCATCGTGGCCAGGAAAAAAAAAAAAGAGAGAGGCAGAGCCAGAGCTCTCTTGTCGCCTTCACGTACACACCCCTGGTGACATAACCTCCACTCTCTGGGCCCCACCTCCTGAAGGTTCCACCACCTCCCAGAAGTGTCACAGGCTGAGAACCAGCCCTTCAACATGTGGACCTTGGGGGACACTCATCCAAACCAAGGCTGGCAGCATGAGAGGACCAAGAAACTCCCAAGTGTGTGCTCAGATTGAGGTCTACTCAGAACTAGTGGGGATGTGAAAAAAGGAGTAGTCTTAATGCCCCCCTGGGCAAGGTGGGAAAGAGGAAGGGTGTTCACCAAACGGATTCGAGGTCTCAGAGCCTTCACCCGATCCTGAGGCTCTGAAGTTCTGAGTGGTTTGTCACAGCGAGGGCACGGACCTGGGTTCAAGTCTAAGGCCGGTGGGGGAGAGTTTTAAGGAGAAGACCACAATCCAATCCAATTTCCAGGCAAGTCTCTCTGACGATGATGTGGAGAGTAGAGCCTGAGGGTGGGAGGCTGAGAAGGGCCTGTGACAGGGTCTGGAGACAGCTTATGAGGAACGGCTCAGGGAAGAGGAAGAGATCCAGGAGACAGGTGATAGGACATGGTGGCTGGCGGGGTGCAGAGGATACGGGGTAGGAGAAGTTACGGTGACTCCCAGATTTCCAGAAGGGGTGTGTGGCTGATGGTGCCTGGAGAGAGAGGAACGGTGCTGGAGCCGGCTGTGTACATCTCTTTCCAATTCTGTGTTATAGTGGCAGTTTGAAATTGGCTTTGGTGGGAATGCTCACACCACAGAAGACAGGAAGTGCAGAGAAGTTGGGTAAATCGGTGGACAGATATTCACCACACACTGCCGAGAACTAGGGGGGTGCTGGTTTCTGGACGCGTGAGGACTGAGAGGCTAAGGGAGCCCTTTTGTGAGGAAGGGTCCAGGAGAGCCCCTCACCAAGAGGAGACGGGGGGTGGGACAGCCCAGGAAGTGAGGGCCCAGAGATTCCCGCGTTACACCTGCACCTTTCCCTCTGCAGTCCTGGGCTGACGGTCTTCAGGGAAGGGGCGTGGCCACTAGGCAGAGGGAGAAATAACTGTGAGGTCTGGAAAGGAGCAGATAAACTTACTGGAGAGGCAGGGCAGAGGAGGCTGTGGCAGCAGAGGGTATGGCCAGAGGGTGAGCGAGGGAGCAGAGACTTGCAGGGTGAGGTACCTGGGCTGCAGCTTCAACAAGCTGGGGAATGGGGCCTGGAAGGAGGCGGACGCAGAGCCCCAGAGACATCGGAGGAGGCTGGGCAGACTGAGTGCTGAGGGTGCCCTGCAGATGAGACCTCACCCGGGGCATCGGTCCCCTCCCACACCGGCCCCGGCCTGTCCTCTCAGTGTTCTGTGTCTTTCAGGGATGAGATCTATTGCCAGATCTGCAAGCAGCTCTCGGAGAACCCCAAAGCGAGCAGCCAGGCAAGGGGCTGGATCCTGTTGAGCCTCTGCCTGGGCTGCTGCCCACCCTCAGAGAGGTTCCTGAAGGTGGGCCTGTTGGGGGCTGAGGCGGGTTGGGCAGAACCATGGGTGGACCCTGGGCCCTGGGCAGGTCCAGAAACCTCTGCCCATGACCGGGTTGTCTGCACCTGTGAGCTGATGGCAGCGATACCTGTGTTTCTTGCACCTCAGCTTCCCCAGTCAGTAAAAGACAACACTTCGCCTTCCGTCCCTAGCCAGGTGCTGCAGGGGCTCAGGCACCGCAGTGGCTTTTCAGAACTCAGAGAAGATGGCAGATAACATTGCACCTTGAGGTGACAGGTGTCCAGGAGGGGCTTCTGCTGGACACGGGCTGCAGCGCCTCTTTCTACTCCTTAGAACTGGAAATGCAGGCAGATGGGCAAGAGCTTCCGAGTATTCGAGGCCCCAGGCTTTGCTGCCTTGATATACTTTTTAGTTTTGTTTTGTTGGGGGGGGTGTTTGTTTTGTTTTGGGTTTTTTGTTTGTTTGTTGTTGTTGTTGTTGTTTGGTACCAGGACCAAACTCAGGACCTTGTGCGTTCAAGGCAGGTGGAGGAACCAGTAAGCTAAGTCCCCAGCCCCTGATGCTTTTTAGTTTTGATGAGAAAAGTAGTATGTGGGAATGTAGGATGTCTAAAAAGGAAGTAAAAGTCATGCCCACAGCCAGAGATGATGCATATTAATATTTTCCTCTGCCTTCTTGTTGGGGTTACACCTGTGGTCATACAGGAAAGACTCAACTGCTCATGAGTCCCTGTGGCGACAGCAGGAACATGGCCACCTGGCCACCTGTCCTGGGCACTCGGGCCACTCCTGATACCTGTAAACCCTCCCAGCCTCTCTCCCTTGCCTCTGGGAGGCAAAACGATTTTCAGCACCTTTTGTCCAATACATTTTGGACATTGGCCCTCCTGCATTTTTCTCCATGATTGTCCTCCTGGTATGAACTTCCCCAGTGCGTCTTTGATGTCTAAGCAACCCTAGAAGGTATAAACTTAATGGATATTTAAGGTCCACCTTCTCATCACCATAGATACCCACCACTGCAGTAAAAAAGTACAAATCATTGCTCGTAGGATAGGTTTGAATAATGGGATCAGACAGCGTGCATTCTTAAAACTATGCACTATTTAAAACAATGCCCAGTCATGCCTCAGAAATGTACCAATTTGTAGCTGGGCGCGGTGGCACTCTGCTCTAACCCCCGCACTCAGGATGCTGAGGAAGAAGGATCATCACAGGTTTGAAACCAGCCTGGGCTACATAGTGAGTTCATAGTGAATGCACGCTGAATACCTGATGTGATCTCCTACCAAAAAAAGCAGTGGTCTATATTCCATCTCATTGTAAATGGAGGGTGCCCAGCCCATGTGCCTTCCCAAACTGAGAGTGACCTGTTTAAAATCTGTCTGGGCAGAAAGCAGAATTCAGCCTCCAATCTGAGTATCTCCCCTTCTTTCTTTGCTCCCCAGTACCTGCTGAACTTTATTCGCCAAGGACCAGCCGGCTATGGACCCTTCTGTGCAGAGCGCCTGCGGCGTACCTGTGCCAATGGGGCGCGCATGGAGCCCCCCACCTGGCTGGAGCTGCAGGTAGGGACTGGCAGGGCTGGTGGTGGGCAGTGGGGGTGGCACAGCCCCCTGCCCCTGTCGCATAGCTGGTGGGGTGACCTGTCCTCAGCATTCTGTCTCCTTCAAGGCATCTTCTGGGCCAAGAGCCCCCAAAGCCCAGGACTTGGCCTCTCCATATCTAAATCCAACATCCTTTCTGCCCTCCTGGATGAGGGGGAAATGAATCTGATATGTCTACCAGCAGGATGATATGAATTAAACTAATGGCTTCAAGGTTACCTCTCCAGGGGCACTCGGCTTGTCAGGCAGGCAGTGGCCCCACCGAGGCTGGCCCCCAGCATGTTGCTGCTGGGAACCAGTGCTACCTTGTCCTGCTGTGGCAGCTGGGACACCTGCCCGTCCCAGAAGTGTCCTCAGGAAAGGTGACTCTTGAGCAGCCATGTTGGAGGGCACCCTGCGCTGGCTCCACCCCCATCTTTGGGCCCAACCCAAGCCTGAAAGGTGCGTGTGGCCCTGTGGTGCCCTGTGCTGGGATCCAAAGGTCACCTCCAAAGAACCCCCGTCTGGCTCCCACCCCTCTGGCCAGATCTGTAGAGGCTCCCTCCTATGAGTCCCAGAATTGCGGTGACTTGTAGCAGCTCTGAATATTCACACAGTGCTGTACACAGTGCCCAGGAGCCAAAAATGTCCCAAGGAATTGCCTTGTGAGAGTCTGAGTCACTTGACCTCAACAAGCTGAGTTTTCTAATGAAAATAGGACCATCGTGGCCTGTAGTACAGGCCCCAGGGTTGGCGAGGAAAACCTGCAGAAGCCTGAAATCCTCGATGTGCATGGCAGCATTGTTTTTGCCCCTGGCCAGCTGCAGGCCTGAACTTTGTTAATTCCACACTAAGCCACAGCCACCCTGGGGCCCCGGAAGGTGGGCAGGTGGGGTAAGGAGGGTGGCAGGCCTCCAGTCCCAGGCTTTCTGACTCCGAGGTGGTCAGCCAGAGCCTCCAGCCGGGGGTTCTGAGTCTTCCTCTGCTCCTAGGCGGTCAAGTCCAAGAAGCACATCCCCGTCCAAGTGACCCTGGTGACCGGACAGAGCCTGACTGTCACAATGGACTCGGCCTCTACGTCTCGGGAAGTCTGCCTGCACATCGCCCAGCAGCAGGACCTCAGCGACCACCTGGGCTTCTCCCTCCAGGTTGCTGTGTATGACAAGGTACTGACCAGGTACCAAGGCACCATGGCCCAGGTGACACAGCCGGCCCTGCTCTCTGCCTTCCTGGGAGGGCCCGCAGGGAGATGCGTCTGGAACTGGGCAGGCTGTGCCCCTCCCAGCCCGTGTCCACATCCTGTGCTGAGAGTGGCGGTCCCTGGGGCTGTGGCACACAGCAGCTGCTCACCCCTGGACCCCTGGTTCTGTCCTCAGTTCTGGTCCTTGGGCAGCGGGCGAGACCATGTGATGGATGCTGTGGCCCGGTGTGAACAGCTGGCCCAGGAGAGGGGTGAGAGCCAGAGCCAGTCCCCCTGGCGCATCTACTTCCGGAAGGAGTTCTTCACCCCCTGGCATGACTCCAGAGAGGACCCCATCAGCACCAAGCTCATTTACCGTCAAGTCCTCCACGGAGTCTGGTCCGGCGAGTACAGCTTCGAGAAGGTGAGGAGCCTGAGGAGGAGCCACATTCAGGGGCCAGCCTGGCCTGTGGCCTCCTGGGCCTGGCTTCCTTGTCTTCCTCCCTTGGACCAAAGCTTTGCCTGAGCATCTGAGGCTTTAGTAGCAGCCACGGCAGGCAGGGGAGGCCGCCCGACCTCCGTGTCAGTCCCAGGCCAGCGTGGCCTCCCTCAGCAGCTGTCTGTGGAGTAGCAGGGGCTGGGGGTCAGGAAGGCAGCCATGGAGCCCAGGTGCCCAAGCTCAAGTCACATTTACGTCTCCCTGGCAGTGTGACTCTGGGAAGTCTTGTCACCCGCCAAGCCTCGGGCCCGCATACCGGTGTACAGAGTGCCACGTAGTTGAGAGAACTGAGGCCAACGGACAGGGTGTGGGCAGCAGTGCAAACCCTCCCGAACCAAGACTGGAGGGTGCTGCCTGGGAGCTCAGGCGGCCGCAGCGATCCCGGAAGCCGGTCTGGAAGGGGTATGGGCAGGGAGCAACGGGGCCAGGCCTGCAGGAGTGGCCAGTGGTCTCCTGTGTGAAGCAGGCCTGGAGCCGAGGCAGCATAAAGCCCGGTCCGACTGCACCCCGTGCAGGGCAGCAATTCAGAGAGGAGGTGGCTTGTTCTTGGCAGAGGCCACAGGAGCAGTGGTGCCACAGAAGCATGGGGGCCCAGTTGGGCCTGTGGCACTGGTCCTGCCTGGAGGAGGTGGCAGACCGGATGGCTGCTTCTGCTGCCCAGTCCTCTTGAGTGTCTGGACAGCTGCACCGCAGGGGTCGGGAGCTGGCTATGAGGCAGGAGCTGGACAGGGGCTCTCACTTGCCTCACCTCTCCTGCGCACCCCACACTGTGCAGGAGGAAGAGCTGGTGGAACTGCTAGCCCGGCACTGCCATGTGCAGCTGGGTGCTTCATCGGGGACCAAGGCTGTCCAGGACCTGCTGCCTGGCTGCATCCCCCCCAAGCTGTACAGGACCAAGGCCCCAGAGAAGTGGGCTGGCCTCGTCACGGCTGCCCAAGCCAAGGTCAGCCTCGAGCCCACCTGCAGGGTGGTGGGGCCCTAGGGATGGAATCCTCACCCCCTGCACACGAGGAAAGCTTAAACCTGACAGTTAGGGCGGCCCTGACCATGAAGTTTATAGTCTTGCTCAGTTCAGTCCCCAAGAACAGGCCCTGTCACCAGCCCTCCTCTTTCTAAGCTGGCATCACCAGTGGACCCCATGACAGTCTGCACTGCAGCACTGCAAGGCCCTGGCATCTCTGCCACCAAATGCTGCCATACCACGGCCTCAGGACAGTCCTGCCTCAGTGGGCTCCCTTCTGTACCCAGGCCTCTCCGTGTCCCCTCTCAGGACACATCAGTGTAGGGACACCCTACATGTCTGGTGCACAGTACGTCTGGCCAAGGCCCCCTTCAGATAAGATGCATCCACATACATCCCCCAAAGCCACTTTTAAAAGTAGAAACAAGGGAAATAACATCTGACCCAACAAACAAGGAAAGGGAAGCTTGGTGCGGATACCACACACGGAGCTGGGGGAGTAGGGTCAGGAGAGGAGGGAGGCAAGCCAGAAGGAGATAGCTAGAGGGAAAGGGGCAAAGGGAGGCCCACAAGGAGCCTCCAACTGCATCCAAGAACCCCAGAGAAGAAAATGAGAGAGGTCCCAGGACTCGGAGTTGTGCAGTAAGATGGCCTTACTCGTGGAGCCGGAGCACAGGCAGGCACTGGCAACAGCAGGCCGTGCTGGTCAGCTTTCCACCTCTGTGCCAAAATACCGGAGACTTAAAAGGAGCAAAGGTTCCTTTTGGCTCATGTTTCAGAGTGTCCGGTTCATGGTCAGTTGGCTCTGTTTTTGGGGCCAAAACATCACGGCAGAGAGCATATGGTGCAGCAGACGCCTCCTCACAACAGCCAGGAAGCAAAGCTGGGGGCAGGTCCCAGTATCTCCTCAAGGACGCAGCCCAGTGACCCAGCTTCCTTCAGCCGGGCCCCACCTCCTAGGCTGCCACCACATCCCGGGTGCACCACCTAAGATCCAAACCACTCCGAGGCCCAGGCTGGGACCCGAAGGTACACGGACTCAGGGACCACCAGCAGCAGCCATGCACAAGCCTGTACACCCTGCTGCTAATGAGGGATGGCCTGCTACCCTCCGCAGGTGCCTCCTGCAGGGGACTCTCCTGGGACCCAGGAGGCCTGAGCCAACCCTGAGACACCCCCAGAGCAGCCTTTGCCAGGCACTGGCCTTGTAGTAGGTGGAAGCTTCACAGAATGATCTATCAAATAATCACCCTACACACTGAGCAAGGGACAGCGATAGGAGTCCGGGCGATGACACTGATGCCCAGGATCCTCCTGCAGGCCTCGTACACCCAGACAGGAGCATCGGCGCTGGCTGTGCGGCAGCAGGTAGTGGATGCCGCCCGTCTGCAGTGGCCCCTGCTCTTCTCTCGGCTCTTTGAAGTCACCACGCTCTCTGGTAATGGCTCTGATGAGGTTGGCAAGTATGGGCACCCCCGGGGACAGGTGCAGCCCTCACTCCCGGTCTCCTTGGGCCAGGGCCCCGCCTCCCCAAGACACAGCTGATCTTGGCTGTCAACTGGAAGGGGCTACACTTCCTGGACCAGAGGGGGAGGATGCTGCTGGAACTCTCTTTCCCTGAGGTCACAAGTCTGGTCACCAACAGGTGAGGGCCTCTTCCCTCTTCTCAGTCTCCTCACAAACTGAGACCGGGGAGACAGGAGTGGCGTTGTCCCCAGAAGCCGGTGGGAGTGTGGAGACAGGGATCAACGTGCACAGCGGCCACCGGACTTGGGGTGCTGTACCACCCCACCTCGTAGCAGGCCACACTGCCCGTGGAGTATGCAATCTGTAGTCCCGCTTCTTGTTTGCTTCTCTTCTGTCCAGTTACTTTTCTCATTGCTGAGACAAAACACCCGACACTCACAAGTCCATAATCAGCGGGCTCCAAGGCAGGGTGGCATCACAGAAGACAGCAAAAGCAAGCAAGCAAGGAACCTCAGCAGCTTCTTTCTGCTCCTTTTTTACTCTAGGCTACCGGGATGAGGATGGTGTCAAATCAATCAGTGGACTGATTTAGTAATCACACACTCTACATTCAGCCACCTCTGAAAAGCCTCACCCTATGACCACACGAGGCTTTGGGGCAGGGTTGGGGACATCCAGACCCAAACCATAGCATCCAGAAGACCCAGCCATATTGGGAAAGTGATGGAGCCACCACTTCCCCAAGTGCAGTCACTTAGGGGACCCTTCCCTGCTCATGGGTAAGATACGAAGGACAGATAGCTCATCTCCAAGAAGAGTGAGAAGATAGCCGACCAAACGCCAGCACCAGGCTCTCCTGGCTCCTTGAACTCAGTCCCACCATGTGCTACTAGAATGCTGCTAGGTTAAAGCCCACCCCGGTGTGGTGTGACTGTTGTAACTGTTACCACTGGTGGGCAGATTGTGGCACAGCGGCCACCATTCCCTGGGGCTGACCATGCGGGACAATTCCTGGTTACCATGAAGTCCTCCTGTGTCCCTTCTGCAGATGAGGAAAGGAAGGCTCGGAGGCAAGGTCACTCTCCAGGGCTCCGAGTGAGCCGGAAGCTGCTCCGAGTGAGCCGGAAGCCGCAGCAAGCCGGCTCCTCCCCTCAGCACCAGCATCCTTTGCAGTGCCCGGCCCAGAGCTAACCCTACCCTCTTGGGCCCTGAGCCCTGGTGGTCACCTGCTCGCCACCCACTGTGGCCCTGCCAGTATTCCAGAGAAGCTACCCTTGGCTGTGACACTGGAGGGCTGCCCTTCTGGGCTGTCGAGGAGCTAAAACAGGGGAGGCAGGCTGGCCACACATCACACCACACCCTCCCTCCCCACAGGGAGGCCTGGGGTGGCCAGAGACTGCTGCTTTCCACTCTGCATGCAGAAGAGTATGAGTTCACCACCTCCGGCAGCGTGGCGGTCGCTGAACTGGTGGCTCTGTTTCTGGAGGGCCTGAAGGAGAGGTCCGTGTTCGCCATGGCCCTGCAGGACAGGAAGGCCACAGGTGCTCCGGGGGGGCCGTCCTGGGGCCAGTGCGGGCAGCTGTGCTGTCTTCACACTGCAGCAAAAACACGGTGCAGAACAGGCTCAGAGACTGAGGGAGGGAGGGAGGGTTGGGTCCCCACACTCCAAAGGGTGGGGCTAGCAAGGCCCTGCCTTCCATCAGCCTCCATTTCTTCTTCCACAACCCGGAAACTGGGGGCGTGCAGGCGGCGGTCCTGAACTCTCCTGAGCAAGCCCTGCTTGGGCTCACCCTCATTGGGGCCTTGAGCGCCGTCCCTCGTGGGGCCACCTTGTCATCCCACGGTACAGACATGCCTCAGAGAGCGAGGTAGCTCAGCCAGGGTCACAGTAGCCAGAGCTGGGAGCAGCTGCGGCAAGCGTGACAGGCCTGAGTGGGCTAAGTGGAGGCGCAGCTCATGCAGGGATTAAGGAGAGGGGCAGGGATGAGGAGTACATGGTCCTCACAGCCCCCAGAAGGAGGGACGGCTTTCACCTACGTTCCACAGAGCAGGAAATGGGCTCCCGGTGCCCACCTCGAAGGCCAGGCTCCTGGGCAGGCCTGTCCCAAGGTCAGGGCCAAGTGACAGGCTTGACTTGTTCCCAAGCGGCCTTGAACCCACACCCTGTGCCTCAGTTTCCTCATCTGCCAAGGGAGATACCCACGAAGGCCAGCGTAGCCTCAAGCCCCTGCAGAGCCTTCCACAAACATGGCTTCTCTCTCCTTCTGTGTGGCCTGAACCTGCAGACGATGTCACCCTCCTGCCCTTCAAGAAGGGGGACTTACTGGTCCTGACCAAGAAGCAAGGGCTGCTGGCCTCTGAGAACTGGGCGCTGTGCCAGAATGATAGGACAGGCAAGACGGGGCTGGTGCCCATGGCCTGCCTCTACACTGTCCCTACGGTGGTCAAGCCTTCCGGCCAGCTGCTGGTAAGTCGCACACTCGCCGCTGCCCAGCTGGGTGCCCAGCCTAGGGGCTGCACGTCAGTCTGCGCCCACCTCACAGAGGCCCAGAAGCTCTGTAGGGCACAGACCCTCCTGCCCGATCTCCTGCGCTGAGTGTGAAGCGGGCATGGTGTTTGCCTGGAACTCCATGCTTGGCATCTAGTAGGTGCCGCACGGATGCAAGCCATTGCCCTCTCCTTCTGGGGTATGACCTAGGGACAAACGTCCTCCCCACCCTCAGCCTTAGTTTTAAGTGACCCCATGACCCCAGGGTGCCTGAGGTCCCTCCCACCTTAAGAACCGCCCCACCTCGAACCCCAAAGCAGCCTTTCAGGGAATCCGGAAGAGGCGGGCCTTCTAATGTGCTCACAGGAGCAGGGAAGAGTTCAGCAGTGCCCCAGCCCGCAGGGAGTGCGCAGACAAACTGACGGCAGGATACACAGCGCCATCGAGAAGCCACACTGGTGGTTACAGGGGCAAATGTAGGATAGGCTCTCCCCGTTTGGGGGGCATCCCTGAGGTGACAGCTCAGGCCTGCAGGGCGTTAAGAGGTGGTCCCTGAGGAGAGTGCCCTCGGGGAGGGTGGTGGGGGTCCTGAGAGGCCCAGGTGGCCACCCTCTGAGAATGGGATGCCAGGCTCCATAGCCATCGGCCCTAAGGGAACATGAACCCCCAGACCTGGGCCACACGGCAGCTGACGCAGAGGGTCTGTGGTCTGACCTTGCCAAGCCACAGGGGCAGCCGGGCCAGGTTCACCTATGGAAAGGGCCTCACGGGAGCGGCTGCGGGGTACCCACAGGTCTATGCCCCACAGAGCTTGCTGGCCATGTCGCCAGAGAAGAGGAAGCTGGCAGCCCACGAGGGGCAGCCCTCAGAGCCGCTGCCTGAGGAGCAGCCCAGGGAGGAGCCACACACCCTGGAGGAGTTCTCCTACGAGTTCTTCAGGTACGCCACCAGCCCTGGGGCTGCAAGGAGGCTGTGGGGCAGGTGCTGGCCTGCTGTGCTCCCCGGGGTTTGAGGCCGGACCGGACCCTGGTGCTCCCAGGTACCCTGCGAGGTCACACGTCAGACCACACAGTCCTCACGCCAGCCTCCTTCCCTGCAGGGCCCCGGAGAAGGAGACGGTCAGCAGAGCCATGATGACCCTGGCCCGCACCCGGGGCCACTTGTGGTCCTACTCCATGGAGCCGCTGCGGCAGCCCCTGCTCAAGCGCGTCCACGACAAAGCTGACCTGCGGGACTTCGCCTGCCAGATCTTCCTTGATATCCTTCCCTGCCAGCTGCCCTCACTGCCCACCAGCCTGGAGCACAGGCACCACATCCCCTCCTGGGCCCACAGCTGCCCCGTGAGGGACCAGGCCTCACCTCACAGAGCACAGGCCGGACCCAGCGCCGGCTACCTACAGGGATGCTCACAGACCAGCGTGGAGCCGGCACCGGGGACTCGATGGGGCAGTGTTGGGGGGCAGTGTGCGTCAGAGTCACTAAGTAGCCCTGGTCAGGGACCAGCGTGGGGTTCCCAGCACTGTTCTCCTTGACAGTCGCACCCATCCTCAAGTACACGGGTGACTACCCATCTCGGCAGGCCTGGCCCACCCTGCAGCTCACAGACCAGATCTTCTCCTGGGCCCTGCAGGAGCCAGCCCTGCAGGATGAGGTCTACTGCCAAATCCTCAAGCAGCTGACACACAACTCCAACAGGTCTTTGGGGACGGCAGGGCCCTGCCCACTGCCTCGGGGAAGTGGCCTCTGGTGGTGGGGAGACAGTCTGTGGCGGGGAGGCCCGCAGCCTAGCCTGCTCTCGCAGCGTCCTGGGGACAGTGAGCACGTAGAGTAGTCCTGCCTGCGCCCGCCCACTCCTCCCTCTCTCTGCATCACCTAGGCAGGTTTGGTTTCTGTGGACCTCAGTGTCCATAAAACAAGCAGAGGGGACTCCCTCCCCATCTCCAGGGTGACACAGCCCTGTGGCATGGGCGGCAGTGGCAGGCAGGTGGCCCTTGCTCCTCCCTTTGCTGGGCCCCCAGACTCCCGGCCCCAGGAAGGCTCGTGTCATTGCTCCTGTGACGCCTGCCCGGCCTGGGCCCGCAGACGGAGCCCTTTCCGCTGACGGGCGCCACCCTCCAGGCACAGTGAGGAGCGGGGCTGGCAGCTGCTGTGGCTCTGCACGGGCCTCTTCCCTCCTGGCAAGGCGCTGCTGCCCCACGCCCAGAAGTTCATAGACACTCGGAGGAAGAAGCTGCTGGCTCCCGACTGTGGCCGCCGCATCCAGAGGGTCCTGAGGTGAGCCCGTTGCCTCACGCCTCGGGGAATTGCCATGAGAACAAACAGGACAGCCCTGCCCGCCTTCCTTCACACGGGCACCCAGGCACCAGGCCTTCTGGGGCTGCTTCAGAACCAGGTCATCTGGGAGTCCAGACAAGCCCACTTCCATGATGGCCACCTCTGAGGCACATGCCAGGGCCACCAGGTCTGCAGGGCAGCCCCTGAAAAGTGTGGGGGGTGGGTGGGCACCCATTCCCTGGCATCTGGCCTAGGGCCCCAGTGAAGGAGAGGGCAGGGGCAGGGGCAAAGGCAGGGTGGCAGGGGGCACCCTCACTGTGCACTCTCTGCTCAGGACGGGGCCCCGGAAGCAGCCCCCGCATCAGGTCGAGGTGGAGGCTGCTGAGAAGAATGTCTCCCGAATCCGCCACAAGATCTATTTCCCCAATGACACCAGCGAGGTGGGTCCCCTGGGCTGGTGTCCACGGCAGCCTCCCCACCCAGCCAGCCTGCCCTCCGCTGTCCACGCTGTCCCCACTCTTCCTACAACCCACCCCCAGGCTCCAGGCCAGCACAGGGAGCACTGTGCCAGGGGAGCAGAGGCAGAGGGTGAGGGCTGAGGCGGGACTGCCAGTTCCAAAGGCAGCCAGGCCAAGGCCACAGCAGAGAGGAGGGGAGAGGATGGGCAGCAAGGTTGAGACCCAGGGTTTGGGAGCCCGAGGGGCTTCGGTCCAGCTGGGGACGATGTGAGCAACTGCCTGGGGTGGATGTGCCCGGGACAGGGGTGGTGACCAGGAGGCCATGACTGAAAGGCAGCGAAGGACTGCAAGGCGGAGGGACTGGGGTAGCCAGGCTGGTGGTGCTGCCCTCCCGCCCTCTCCACCTCGGGGACAGCTGAGTCCCTGCAACAGAGGTTCCCAGTCTTGTTGAAGGGCTCTCAAAGCAAGTTCCAAAGGCCAGGCCCCGGGTAGAGTCCAGGGGACAGTGACAGCAATGTGGCCACCCGGAGCCTTTCTGGAAGGAAGGCTCACCCTTCCCAGCACCGAGCACAGCCGGCCACAAGAGTCACACAGGGGCACGAGTGCCAGGCTGCAAAGCCCGACAGCCTCCAGGAGCAGTCAGGCCCCATCCCGGCCCTGGGCCTTACCCGCTGCTCTCCGCCCAGATGCTGGAGGTGGGCACCAACAGCCGGGTGCGAGAAGTGTGCGAGACCATCGCCACCAGGCTGCAGCTGGCCTCCTGGGAAGGCTGCAGCCTCTTCATCAAGATCGCAGATAAGGTGCGCAGCGGGCAGGCCAGGGGCTGCAGGGACGCCGGGCGAGGGCCTCACGTAGAGTGGTCTCCCGACACCAGGGGGACCGCTGGGCAGGCCCAGACTGCTCAGTGCACAAACATCCAGGCGCAGAGGGTGGGGTCTCACAGCCGACCCCTGACCCCTTACCACGGCCACCAGCAGTCCCATGCTGACCTCCACTGAGCGCCCTGCACCCTGTCCTCTGGGCCAGTGTACGTGACTTCTGGACCCAAGCCCAAAGGGTTGCCCCCGGAAGCCACCCCACCTGCCTGCCTCCGTCCCTTCCCACCTCAGGTGATCAGCCAGAAGGAAGGAGACTTCTTCTTTGACTCCTTGAGGCAGGTGTCCGACTGGGTGAGGAGGAACAAGCCTCAGAAAGAAGGTGCGGGGGGAGGGGTCTGTGTGGAGTAGGAGGGCTGGGGGGCTGTTGGACTCCTACTCCTCCTTCACGGCCCCACCCCTTCACTCACTCAGCCCATGGATCTCCCTGAGCACGCAGCTGGCTGCAGCCCAGGGAGATAGAGGACTCTGGGCCCATCCTCATGAGGGTGCGGATGCCCAAGAGGAGGTGGTCTGCACTCTGGTCTTGAAGGATAAGGAAGTGATCGGGGACAGGGAGGCCAAGGGAGGAGGCAACAGTAGAGCTCACAGCTCACAGGGAGCGGGGCGGCAGCGGATGTGAGCCCTGTAGGACAGGCAAGGTGCCCACTGCCGCCCCGCCCCCAGGGACGCCGGTGGCGCTCCCCTACCAGGTGTACTTCATGCGGAAACTGTGGCTCAGCGTGGTCCCAGGAAAGGACCTGAACGCAGACACCATACTGCATTACCACCAGGTACCGCAGGCCACTCCCACCCCATACCACCCCTGAGCCTGGGGAGAGGCGGTGGTCAGGGTGGGACCAGCACGGGTCCCCTGAGGAAGGCAGGCCCAGTCCTGAGGGCTCTGGCACCAGGAGAGGTGCACAGCAGCATCTGGGACAGCGCCCCTGCTGGCAGCTGGTGTGTGACTGCCTGTGGAGAACTGGCCTTACCCTGAAGCCAAACACCTGCACATGGGGTAGGTATGACCTCAAGGCACGATGCCAGGGAGCCCTGTCCTCACTCGCAAGGATCTCAGCCTTTGGCCTGCTCAGTCTCCCAGATTGCAGGGGCTGACAACCCAGGCCCTGTCACCTGCGCATGAAGCTGAGGGTGGGCTGGCAGCCTGTGGCTTAGCACGTCCGTTGCTCAGGAGCTGCCCAAGTACCTGCGTGGGTTCCACAAGTGTTCCCGGGAAGATGCCATCCACCTGGCTGGCCTCATCTACAAGGCCCAGTTTGACAATGACCGATCCCAGCTGGCGAGTGTCCCCAAGATCTTGAGGGATCTGGTGCCTGAGAACCTCACACGCCTGCTGTCCTCAGAGGAGTGGAGAAAGGTCTGTTGGACCGGGGAGGGTGCCCTCAGGCCACTGCCCCTTCCAGTACCCTGCCTGGGTGCCAGGCGCTCCCAGGCCCGAGGGGCACACTGTAGGTGTGGGAGGTGGGCTGGGTCCTTCACCCCTCTCCGAACAGCATGCACGACACTGCCCCTTGCTCAGACTGACTGGTGGGGAGGCGGGGCCCCGGGCGCCCAGCCAACCGGGCCCTCACGACTCCTCCTTCCCCAGAGCCTCCTTCTAGAGTTTGATAAGCACCAGGACAAGACGGTACAGGAGGCCAAGGTGGCCTTCCTCAAGTGGATCTGCCGCTGGCCCACCTTCGGGTCCGCCTTCTTCGAGGTGAAGGTAAGCCTGGCCCCAGGCGCACCCCGGGGGTGCTGCATGTGTCTCAGGTGGGCAGGAGGAGGGGCCACCCGGGAGGTGCCACCTGGTCCGGACCGGGCTGTGACCACTGCACCCCTCCGGCCAGCAAGCCTCAGAGCCGTCCTACCCAGATATCGTCGTGGTGGCCATCAACCGACATGGTGTGCTGCTCATCCACCCCAAGACCAAGGTAGGGCCGAGGCCCCGGGCAGGGCTGGGGCACAGCTGCTGAACTTCCTGCCTGCCCTGCTGTGCCCAGCCTAGTCGCCTGCAGGCTCTGCCCCTCGCCCACCTGCCCTCTGCCCCCAGGAGCTGCTCACCACCTACCCCTTCACCAAGATCTCCAGCTGGAGCAGCGGCAGCACGTACTTCCACATGGTGCTGGGGAGCCTGGGCCGCGGCAGCCGCCTGCTGTGCGAGACCTCGCTGGTGAGCCCATCTCCACCACAGGCACCGAGGCTGCCCGCTCGTCCCTCTGCCGTCTTTCAGAGATGCAGGGCCCGGACCAGACTGGGCTGGTAGAAGGCGGGAGAAGGCCAGGAGGGGTCTGAGGACGGGGAGGGCCCCGCAGCACGGCTGCAGCACACGCCCGGCCCAGGTCCCTTGTCCTCCCTGCGCCACAGCTTCTGACCCCATCCTCCCGTCCAGGGCTACAAGATGGACGACCTGCTGACCTCCTACGTGCAGCAGCTGCTGAGCGTGGTGAACAAGCAGCGAGGCTCCCGGGCCGCCCCCTAGGAGTAGGTGGTTCCTCGCTGGCTCAGGGCCTGGCCTCTGCGTGTAGCCTCCTAGGCCACCCTCGCAGCACACGCCCTTGTCCTGAGCGCTGGCCCTGGAGCTGGAGGAGGTGTCGGGCATGGGATGATGATGGATGCGCCTGAATATTCAATAAACCCGCGGTGCGGAAGTGCGCTGGCGAGGGACAGGGCGGGCGCCCGGTATGCGGCGGGTCTGGGGGGGCCCCGGCCCCCGCGGGTTCTCCAGG